TCTAGATTTACTAAGTAATAACTTTCAATATTATAATTTTTTTTTTGAAAATAAGCTAATGTAATATAAAATTTTAAACAATTAAAGTTTATAAGTTATAGATTAATATGTATCAAAAATATCAATTTTTTAAAAAATGTCTCAGAATCCCATTTTCCTAGCAAACTTCCTATATATGAGAATTGTTATTTAAAGGATAGCGAAATGACAAGTAAAATGCAAGGCGAAAGGCTGAGTATTGGGAAAATTTTTAAATATATGTAATATTTACTATTTGTAGATTAGATTCATATGATAATCTTATGCACGTCATTATTACGCATCTCAAATTTCTATTCTTTGATTGGTTGAAATAAGCAATTATATGATTGGGTTGATTATTTATTGTGACGTAGATATGTGATGAGTCACGTGACTCAACATAACCTGTCACACATTTTAGATATGGCACGTCTGAAATGTGTGATAGGTTATGCTGATTATATGGCTTAAAGTATGTGACGCATTTTTCAAAAAAAAGCGTCTAAGTTAAATTTTACTGCAAAAACCCAACCCGCCACCTTAAGTAAACTAGAAGTACGGTTTGGTTTCAAAAGAAAAAAATTCGTAGAAAATTGTCTGTGGCACAAGTGCTGATCATCATATCGATCATTTCCAAAAAGTATTTTTTTGGCATAACAGGGAAATTATCACGTGAGGACGTAGTATTAGAATTGAATAATTATGACGCAAATTTAATCCAAAAACAACAAAATGTCTATATACCAGTTCGTCAAATGCCAGCTTTAGCAGTATTAGTTCAATAAGAATAAGGACAAGTTCTGTATAAATAAATATGTACAACCATTACTCCTTATTTTTCGCTAATCTTTCGGAGATACTCTTAGTAGTGATGCAGTTCCAGAACGAATGTCAGATTGTTTCTTTTATCGAAACTTGTGGTGGGAGAAGGGAGAATTTAGCAAAAAGGCAAAGTGGAAAGAAATAACGTAAGTCTCTTTTCTTATTTGTTTGATGTTGATATTTGTTTTAGTAGCTGATATAAATTGTTATTCATATATATATAAGATTACCTTATGTGCTTGCTACGAACATCACCATAGAAGATTATGAAGAACGTACAGAAGAGTTCAATATTCACAGATATTGGGAGTGGTCAAACGGAAAAATCTTAATCTATGAGTTTCCTTCTATGCTACATGAAGTTGACATCAGTGCAATTGTTAAGCAAATAAATAAACAATGCGGTAATGCTGATGGAACTGATGCCAAGAATTATGGTTTTAGTTCTACTAGTAAGTATTAAATATCATAACATATTTCTCCGTTTGTATCATTATATTAATTTTATTTCTTAAAGGAACACGCAACAGAAACTGTGGAAAAGAAGCTGATGCATCGTTTCGTCTAACAAAACTGACTGTAACTGCACAAAATGGGAGCAATGGAGATGTAATTTCTGTTCTTTTTATTGGTTTTGAACTTTTTAAAGCTAGTAATTTCATATACCTTTTTTATTTAGAATCGTCCTTGGCCAAATTTGGTCGTGAAAGTAGCCTACTCTGAAACATTGGATCACGTTGAAGAAGCTTTACAATATTGGTTGAGTCCTAGTTGTACCTACGATTGTATTATTGTAAAAATCGACCCAGTTTCCCAAGACTAAGTACCAGTCCGTATGAGAGTAAGCTATATTTATACAATTTAATAATCATATTATTTGTATAATATTCTGAAGATTTTTTTTCATTGTAGGTTTGGCACTACTGTATATCAGACAGAAGAACGAGAAGAATTCTGCATAGAACTATGGTAATTTTAAACTATAGTGATTCGCTTTTCTGTTAACATATTAAAAATCTCTAATGTATGTATAATAATTATTAGTTTGAATTTGGGACCCAAGATGGCACGAGAGCTCCATTAAATATTGCATAAGGTCAATGCATCATTAACATATCATTAAGCTGTCTTTATCATGATTTTAAGCAACCTGATCCTCCTGCGCTTCCTATCCAAAACTCTCTTACCTGATTCTATTCCGTTGGATTTTTATTTTATTCAACGTTCTATCAGAAAAGTATTTAACTATTAGAGGAATACCCACAATATTGTAGCCTTTCCTTTTTACATATCATGCTAGGCTAACTCCGTTTGAATTTATCTTTTAACATAATATATAGTGTATGCTGTATGCTGTATGTTGTATGTGTGTTCTGATCAATAAAAAATAATAGTTACTTTTATTGAGCATTTTTTGTATACATTGGGCTCGTGATTTTTAACTGCTATTTGACATGTATGTATGCTAAATTCTGTTACCAATAACTGGAAAATTTATGGTGTTATGCTACTTTGAAATCCCTCATTTATAATTTTCTGGATGATTGCGAATATATGATATATATAATAAATGGAATAATTTTTTCTTAGTTTAAGTGTGAGATCCAGGGTTGCGGAAAATAAAAATAAATTGTACAAATATAATTAAAGTTTTATGATTATTCAATGAGACCCAATTCTCGAAGATGCTCTGAAATAACTATATTTGGGTCTTCATAATACCAAACATACCTCAAGGCAATACAGTTTTCTTCGCATAATTCTTTCTTGAGTTGATCCCGCCCTTGCTGTTTAATAAAATTATTGGGATCACCTCTATGAAAGAACTTATTAAATTTCTCATGCTGTTCTCCTTACACTTCGATAGCAAAGCCATATTCATAATAGGAAATATCGAGTTCTAATCCTTGAGGGTATTCAGATGATTTAAGAAATAAGGTCGACGTATTTTAGATGGTGATCTAAGATATTTTGATACTATTTCTCAACATAGTTTTTCTCTTTTATATTTCAAGCAAAATAGACACCACGAGTTTGAATGTTTAATATTGCTAAATGATGCAATCCATAAATGTCCTTCAGCACATTTCCATAATAAAGCTTAATAATATAATATTCAGAAAGACAAGCTCCCTTTCTATTATAAGCCAATTGCTTTGCATTTTTGATAGTAAGAGGTTTATTAACTGCACAATGTAGGCACCATCTCTTACCATTTTTTATATTATTAAGAGTTGCAATCTATTCATGGTTGTTTGCATATTTCCATCACATTGGAGTACTAGTATTAATATATTCAGTAGAAATACATATTCCATCACGTTCTTTAGTAGGGCAAATATGAGGTTTCTAGGACAGATTTCAAAATAGTATTCAGAAAAGATTCCTGATCGCCTGCGAACCCATTTTAGCTATATGAATCAATTATCAAATTCAAACTTCTAACGCATTTTGACTCAATTCTAGATGA